TTCAAAGAAATATATTTATGAAAAGCATTTTCAATAATAAAACTGGAAGTCCTCTAAAATCCCTTTAAAAATATTTTCTATATATTATATCATTTTATCTAAAAATATAAAAAATTAAATTCTAATTCAAATGAAATCCAATATTTGTTTAGATATGGAAAGTAATATAATATCCACAAAAATGGCAAAATATTAGACTTTAAAAAAGTTATTTCCCTTTTATTAAAGTCTTAAATAAAATATTCTTTAGAAAACATTTTATTACTTCAAATAAATGGCAAACTTTTGCGTAAATACATTATAAATACTGAATATAATATAGGGTTTAAAACTCATACCAAAGAATATTCTGTTGTCATATACTGTTAATTAATTGATGACTCGTATTGCAAATGATTGATGCGTTTTGTATACTATAACTATTGAATGTATATCAAGAATATTCTGCTTTTAAAAGGCTTTATGTATTATAATTCTATTACGGATACTATAATCCAACAGAATATTCATTTTATATATAAAAAGTCGTTTATTATTAAGCGATTAAATGCTAAAAATCAAGTGTTGAGTCGGTTTTGAATTAAATATTAAAATCAGATGTGATTTTTCTTTTCTGTACAATCTTTATATTTATTACTTGTATTTTATCCAGAATTCAACGATTAATGCATTATATATTTTAATATAAGAATATTTCATAAGAATTTCCATTTAATTAAACTAAAAAATGTGAAAAGAATTTGTGTTTTTGCGAGAAATTTAATGAACAATTTGTCGGAAAGTGTTTTGATTGACATTAATATCAAGTTTCTGTCACTTATATGTCAACGACTGGTGGAAAACGCATTGAATATTTTAGTTTTTCGTTTTTGCCTAAAAATCTTGTCTTGTGTTTGAATAGTGAAAAAGCAAATAATATTTATTAACTCTCTCTCTCTCTCTCTCTCTCTCTCTCTCTTCATTCACTTACTATTTTATATGACAATTATTGATGTCTATTGGATTCATATTTATATCTCAAACACTTACTATCCGTACACTATATAAAGTACACACAGTATATGTCTGTCGCGGTTATCCATCTCTTGCGGATTTGTCTCATCCCATGCCATCTCTCACTCAATGAAAATAGCAAACAAACCGTTCATCTCTTTTCCTCCGATTTCAATCATCTTCTTCTTCATCACAAGATTTTCTCTACAATTAATCACGAAATATAGTCACGCAATAGTCAATGATAGTTATCGCTCTCTCTCTCTCTCTCTCTCTCTCTCTCTCTACAAACTGTAGAAATTGAGTTAGTTTTCAAGTGATATCTTATAAAACAGTGATTGAGGCAAAATCTAAGATAAATATATATTATATTTTATATTAAATGTGATCGTCACAAGATATTTCACAATATTTTTAGCTATATTATAAGATATATTGTAATAATCTGACCATGGTTAATTTTATTATGGCGTGATCTCCTTATGAAATAGTGAGCAATATAAACTATTTTTAGCAAATTCAACTCAAATAGGCATAAATAATCTATAACATTTATATGGATTAATGGTAACTCCATCGTTGATTTATTTTACAACTGATTAAGCACTGATATGTCAAGATTCGTTAAGGTGTAATATAATTTAGGAAATATGGTAAGTTTGGTACAGAATTTGATACCAAATGCAGTGTTTTTGGAAATATATATAAACTTACAAAAATGTTTTACAGATTATTATCGCAGAAAAAAGGAGAGAAACTTTATTTCGCAAAAAAATATATAAAAACTTTTAAATTAAATTTTGACGAAAATCTTTCGGTTCCTGTAATCAGTTTTTGGGCTTTAATCGAGAAATACAGGAAAAAATGGGGCAAAAATTTTGATGCTCTGTATTTCGGTATATATCCAGTGAACAGGACTTGAAGTGCACTTATATTTTGTTGTGATTAATGTTTTTTATATTTCTTCTAATATATATCAGATCTCTCTCTCTCTCTCTCTCTCTCTCTCTCTCTC